TTGAAGCAAACCGTTCAGCGCAGGGCAAGCCAGAGCAAACCAGCCGCAGTTACAATCAGCAGGCAGGCGGCCATATTCAGTGCTGTTGCCATTGCCGGTTGCTGTTGGGTCCCCCCTTTGCCGCCCCGCTTAGCTCTACATATGCCCCTCGCTCGACAAAGTGCTGTGGCTGCGGCTGCTGCTGCTGTCTCTGCTGCTGCTGCTGCGGCTGCCGTGTGCTCATATAACGAACGAAATTTTTGTTCAGCAACGCACACATTGAAAGCGGGCCAGATACACACGTCCACGTACATGTGCATCTGTAGTGATACACACGTACTGTGTCTGTGTAGCCGTTGCCTCTGCTTTGCGCACATAGTACTAGAGCGAACAAACCAACGAAACGTACCGAGCGAACGAATGAACGAAACACACAGTCACACGCACACACACGCACACAAATAAAACATTGGCACACACACAGAGAGACACGCATACAAAAATATACATATACAGCTACATTTTCACTGCCTGCGTTTGCGTCGTACTTCGTATACTGGTGCTTGGTGCTTGGTCTCTGCTTCTGCTGCCTCTGGCTGGCTGGCTGACTGGCTGGCTGCCTGGCATTCATTCTGTGTATTTGATATTCCACTGAAGGCAAAAGCTGTACGTACGTACGGTACTCTACGCTGCTGAACAAACCGAGACCGAGACAGCAACTGAGAGCACAGCACAGCACCAGCCAGCCATAGGCAACAGCACAGCACAGCACAGCACCAGTACAGCAAAGCAAAGCAAAGCAAGGCAGAGCAGAGTAGAGCCAGAGCAGTGCACACAACTGACTTGAGTTTTTAGTAGAAGAAAATTTATAAAGTGAACAAACAACAGCTAAACGGCAGTGTACAAAATATAACCACGAGTCGATATATCGACGAGGCCCACAATTAAAAACGCAAATTTGGCGACATTTTCGTACGGGTGAGTGAAAAGTGTCTCACTATGATTGATTTATCATTGTATTTGCAATACGAATTGACCAAAATGCGTCGCCGATGCGGCCATTTATTATATAAATTTTGCAAAATAAAACTAAACGACCCAAATTTGTTTGGCTGAAAAGCGCAAAAGGTGGCATGGCATGGCAAGGCCTGTACTGGGCTGGCCTGGTCAGGTTGGGTCGGGCCTGGCCTGGTCTGGCCTGGCCTGGCCTGTTTGTGATCAAAAAGCCAAAGACCCAGAGCTATAATCACTTGAATATCTTGGTCCCAGAATTCTTATGATTCCGTTCCGTTTTCGTTGACGTTGTCATCGTTGTCGCTGTCACCGTCGTCGTCGTCGTCGTTGTCGTTGTCGTTGTCGTTGTCGTCTTCGCCGTCGTCGGCGTCGTAGCTGTTCTCTGCCCTGTATTGTTGTTGGTATTGAATTTAAATTTTGAATGCGCGCGCTCATAATATTGACGGTTATTTTTTGAAAAATGCTCGGCTCCTGCAACAACACCTGCTCAATTATTCAATAGCCAAATAGGTGTGAATAACAAATGCAAATTACAATTTATGCAAATGCCACGATCTTAATTCACAAATTTGCGATTAATTTGCTTGCATTAAATTAACGAAAATTAGTGCAGTGTTGTAAAATGTTGTAAATACTTATTTGTTATTGTCTTTTGAGGTTGAATATATGTACATATACTCGAGTGTGGGTGCTGTCGAGGAGGGGAGGGGTTTTATTTTTGGGGGGTATCTGATGGCAGGCATTTGTTGTAGATTTGAGCGCGTGAGCAACGGCAGCGGGGGTTAGTCAGGGGGGCAGGTGGGCGGCATATTTGGTTATATGTGACGACGACGACGGCGACGGCAACGGCAACGACGACTACGTTCATGACATGACGGCGGATAGCATGGAAAGCCGAGGGGTAATGAAGGCAGGGGCTGTTGGGGCGGGGGGCGGTGGTGGTGAAGAGGTAGGCGAGTGGCAGCGGCGCCGCTGCTGCCGCGGCAAAATGCTACTGGCATTTCGTTCGCACAAAGCTTGTTCGCTCCACGCTTTTTATATGGCTGAAGCAATAAGCAGCCACAGCGTACAGTCACATCAAAAATAGTCGAACATGCGCGTGCCTACGACTAACGCAAGAGCTCACTGGTGTGGGGTGTTACAGTGTCTTAGAGTATGATAATAAATAATATTAATTACATATAATCTATACTTTGAAACTAGTATTTATTTTTTAAAATGTGCAAATATTTAAATTAAAATATTACAAAAAATTAGCTCAACAGTAAATAAATAATAAATAATAAAAACTTATTTTTATTTTAAATAATATATTTTTAAAAATTTATATGTTAAAAAAAATAAAACTCTAAATTAAATATAAATAATAATTTTGAAAGTTTCAAAGTAAAAATAATATTAAAATCTTAAATACAAACATTTTTAAATTTTTTGGTATAAAAATATTTTGATCAAAGATTTATAAAACATAATTTTTTCAATATAAATATTTTAAAATTTATTTTTTGCGTTCAGTGAAATATTCGGAAATTATAATTTCACATACGCCCATCGATAATTCATTATCTATTAACCATTCAATTATTTCCAATGCCCTTCCAATATTCAGCGACCGCACTGTGCATGCGCTGTGCAAATTCCATAGCACAGCCAGTCCACTTAGTTGGTACACTACTGTTGCGGCCACCGCAAAAACGCAAATTATTTTTCTCACACACACGCACTCAGCAGGCGGTAGCTGTGCGCACGTAATTTGCCACCACTGTCGGCCACTACATACAGTTGCCCGTCTGCCTGTGTTCGCTCTGCTCGTTGCCCGCCCTCTGCCGTTGTCGACGTCGCTGTTGCTGTCGTCGTCAACGCTCTATGTTGGTTGGTTGGTTGGCCTGGCTGGCTGTTCGACTCTCAGCTACAGATACGTTTGCCTGTACTGCGCTCACAGCGGCGCGGCTCTGGGCTCTGTGTATTATTTGATGGTCTCGCTGTTCACTCGTTCGTTCGGCTCGCCTCTGCGTGCGTGTGTGTATGTTTCGCCTCTGCTTCTGTTCTGCTGCCGCTGCTGCTGCCTGCCTTGTTTCGCTTCGACTCGACTCGCCTCGCCTCGCCTCACCTCGTCTCGCCTAAACTCGCCCTGCCTCGCTTTGCTTTGCCTTTGCTTTGCCTTTGCTGCTGGTACAGCTGCTTCAGTTGAATTTCAGTTCAGTTCAGTTTTCTATAGACACTCGCAGTACATTTTGTTCAGCGCTCAGAGTGTTGTTCAGTGCCAGTGCCAGTGCCAGTGCGAAGCAAATTTCTAGTCCGAGCCGGGCCAAGAGTGAAGTGTAAACAGACAGCAACAACAGCGGCAGCCAGAGCAAAGTACGTACGTATATCAGAAATAAGAGTATTTTTCATTAGTCGTCTGTGGGTAATAATTTTTACACTGGCGTTTAGTGTTAGGCCCACGGGGCGTCACAGTTACAGTGTGCGTCAAATTAGTAGGACAACCTCTGTTCATGTTTTAGTTTAGTTTTGCTGGCATGCTTGCTCAATGTTATCATCAATTAAATTGATTAACAGTTGAATCGTTGACCAGGCCATGTTGAATACGAAATGTGATTATTGAATTGATTATTAATGGGGTGCAATAATCAAGAATTAGTGATATTAATGCTTTTTGATTAATTAAAGTAGTTTTTGTATTTTGAATGACGAAAAGAATTAGATTGTATTATTTTTATTTATTATTTAATACAGTTTATATAAATATTAATAATTTATTATTAATTAATAAAATATTTAAAAAAATATTTATTATAAAAGAGAATATAAATACTTACAACTATCAGGAAAAATTAAAAAAAAAAAAAAACATTTTATTTTAAATTTAATGTATTTAATGTGTGCTCAATATTCTTTGCCGCGACTGTAATCGCATCCAATGGCATTGTGGAGCCATTCAGTGAATCTACTTGGCATTTTGTTTCGATGCTGATTTCGATTTCAGTTATTGTTCCACGCCCGATCTGAACTTGCTGAGCGCCCTCACACCCACCTGTCGACAGACTTTAGTCTAGTGGCGATCCGTGGGCCCCTACGCAAGTGCATGTAAATACTTCGGTGCATTTATGTGTGCGTGTGTGTGTGTGTGTGTGTGTGTGTGATTCGCTGCTGGCTTCAATTGTTTCACATAGTTCAGTGCGTTGCGTCTTCTGCCTTATCATATGGCAGCGCAATTGTCGCCAAGTTGCGCCGGCTGTCGATGGTCACGTTTCTCGCTGCCCGTTTCCCGTTTCCCGTTCCCTTTTCAAGCCGTTCAAGTATCCAGTGCAATTTGCTCATATTTATTTTGCTTGAATTGCATTTTGCAGCTGCGTGCACAAAATTGCCCGGCGGAATACACATTTTCCTGCTCTTGATGAAGTTTCAGCTCTCTGACCGTGAAATGTGATTTGTAATTGAGAAAGCGTGAACTCACTCTGAGATCCGTTCTGCAAAACCTTTTGCCAGATTAGCAAATCAAATCATAAACATTTCTTATCACAATGAAAGCTTTTTCTCCCCCTTGAAAGCTATGCTTTGAGTGTTGATCTCTGCAAAGCTAAGCAGGCTAAATCAAAGGAAAATAAACAAACTATTGATCAAAAATAAAAAAATAAAAATAATTTAAAGCTAAATAATATAATTAAAAAATCAATTTTAATTATTAATATATTATTATATATTTAATTAATTAATTATTTACATTATTAATGTTTTTT